ACAGCAACAACTGGCATGTCATGACAAGCAGCCCATATTCAGAAGACCAGAATGACAAGCACTTCAAGCATGAACCTAGTATTACAAATTGCCATCTTCAGGGAAGTTGTTTGGTTCACAGATGTCAGTATATATAGTTAGTCAGGGTGAGAATCTTTCCAATTAACTGCTACATTCAAAAATCTTCTGAAGATTCTCAGGAGCATTGCCTTGCTCATCTTCTAAATATAACTGTATGGCTTGTCACTGGCATGTTTCCTAGCTCCTCTCCTTTCCCTCTCTTCATTAGTTAGTCCTCAAGTTCTTACTTTCCTTTTGCTTGTATTATACCTTTCTGTTTGTATTTCTTTTTTTGAGTTCTTATACTAGGGAATCTACATGATATTTACACAGGTGTGTCTGGTTTATTTCACTTATGAGTTACATTTTTAGTTGTATAGGTCTTGCTTTAACTTGATCTTAACCATCCTACAGAAAGATGCAACCATGAGGTATAAAAAATAAAGCTATGTTAATATGCTGAACTGTAAAAGGCTTAAGTGAACAACTTCAGATAATTGCCAGTTGTGCTGATAACTCACTACTGTTATGGACTGTTGGACTATATTGGGTTATTTTACTAAATTCAAGTACTTATAATATTTGGACTGGCATCAAGTATGAAAAGGTCCTTTAAAGACTTCTCCACATACCACTTCTCTAACAGCAGTGAAACAACCATCTCTGACAAAACAAAAAAGGGGAGTATAAGGGATGGATTTATGGTGAAAAATATGCATATGTATATACAAGATAGCTGGGATTGATATATAGTTACTCTGTCTTAGTTTATTGAAAAGAAAGGTTTGCACTAATATTGTTTAGACAAGATATGTCTACATCTTTTCCTCCAAATAATTACTACAAAGACAACAATATGCAATGTGTTAATTACTGTAACTGTTCTACTAACCTGTTTTGAAAGATTTTCATTGTTATTTCATCTTTTTTCTCATTAAAATGAATTAGAAATTTAAAAAACAAGGAAAAAATTATCAAGTAAAATTTAGCACTATAAAATATTTGGGAATCAGTATTTCAAACTATGAATTTTGCAGACAAGTTGAATGAATCCCAAGAAATCTCATGTATAAAAAAAATGAAATTCACTTTTTTATTAGTCTCCTTCAAAGGGACTTCTTTTTTTCCTATCACAAATGTCTTTATTCCTAAATTTCATACTAGATAAAACATTACATTTATGTTCCTACTCAGGCCTGTAAACACAAGAAAGAAAGGAATAAAAGCTAATTAAACAGGAAATAACATATGTACATGTTTTATAAGAGAGAAAAAATATGAAAACTTGTATGGAGGAAAGGTTATAGGACTATAGCATCATTAATTCCTTGCAAAGATAGATTCATGGGGAAAAATCCAAAGGTTGCTGGAAGCCTTGAGGTAACATGATAAGATTAGAAAGTTTTGTTTCAAGTTTTCAAAGGACAGTTGGCACATTATGTGTTCCCATTTTCAATTTCACCAGCATTTGCAACACGCCGTATCTCTTTTCTTTTTTTTTTTCTTTAGAGACATTATCTTTACTAGTTTTGTCTGTACATATGTTTTCTCTGTTTAAAAAAGAAAACAATGCTAATGGGCATTTATATGGAATGCTTCACAAATTTGCATGTCATCCTTATTTGGGGACATGCTAATCTTCTCTAAATTGTTCCCTTTTTAGCATATGTGCTTCTAAAGCAAGCAGCCATGTCCTTTTTCTGCCCTAACAGTTTGCTAGGAAGATCAAGTGATACTTTTTCTTTGGAGATGGTAGAGCTCAGCATTTATTCCATGTAGACTCCATCCCCAGACCCATGGAGATAACTTTCAGATCTCAAATTTTAGATAGAAGATCCTATAGTCAGCGGAATTAAAACATATTACATACCTTTATATTATATAAGATATAAGATTGTGCTCACTTCAGCAGTGCATGTGTTACATAAGGTTGCATATATAGTAGAGATAGGTAGAATGCACCCTTGAATCCATATATTTCCAATTCCATAACTCTTAATCTTTTCTCTGAAGTAGAATGAGTCCACTTTATATTACCATGTCATCATAGCTGAGATACTCAGCTTAAAAGGGGGAAGATTTGCTTTGGCTCATAGTTTTACAGGCATTAAGTCCATGTTTGCTTGGCTTCTTCAAAGGAATCTTTTCACTCTTCTATCATGCATGGAGCATTGTGCTAAGTGCAGAGGCTGAAGCAAGAAACAAATGAAATATGATCTCTTCTCTAATGAAGTTTATGGTTATGCTACTGTTCCATTTTTATTTACTCTTCTTGAAGTATAGTAAACTCTTAAGCAAATTTTGAAATAAAAGTGACCTAAACAAAATTAAAAATAAAACAAGTATCATTAGCTTTGTCCTTTGAGTCATAGAGATTTATTCTTTACTTCCTACCTAAATGGAAAAATTGATGCCTGAGAAGATCAAGTAATTCTTATGATTACTATACAACTGCATCATATATTTATAATAGAAATGTGTTTAAAACACCGACTTTTAAAGTCAAAGTTCAAACATTCTTGGCACAGACTAAAACCCAAACTCAAAATTCAAAATAGAACTTCTAATAGTAGATGGTGACATTCTATCAAAAACATTTCTTTTTAACTGGGATGGAATTGGTCTAGCACTGGCACAAATGTAATTAATACTACTACATAAATCATACCTTAAATTTAGATTATACTGAAAGAGAGATTTTATGTTCTGTTATTAATGAGGCACACTTTAGCTTACATGCTTCCAAGAAAATGAGTGATCATGTTATTATAGCATGTTTTTCTTTGCTTCTCAACAACTACTGTGAGAGATCTAGTCCTAGCCCAGTCCCGGTGAGTGTGTGGGAGAGCTTCCTGCTAACCTGCACCATAGGGAACTGCCAGTCCCAGCACAGGTGCAGCGTAGGTGAGACCCACGTCCACCTTCTTGGGACCCCCCACCACTCCTCAGCACAACCCCCACACTGCCCTATGAGTGAGAATTTTTTGCAACTTCTGGGGACCCCCAGATCCAGTCCTAGCCCAGGCTCGGTGAGTGTGTGGGAGAGCTTCAGGCTACCCTGCATGATCAGAACCTGCCAGTCCCAGCTCAGGCACAGCATGGGTGATACTCTCTTCCACCCCCTTGGAAACCCCCACCACTCCGCAGCACCACCCAAACCTGCCTGTCCAGTGAGAATTTCTGATACATTCTGGGGACCCACAGATCAAGCCCTAACCAGGCCAAGTGACTGTGGGAGAGCTTCCTCTCCTCCCTACTTCACCTTAACCACTCCAGATGAAGATCAGACCTGGCATACAGGGCTGGGGTGAAACCATTCAGATGCAATCCAAGCAGAGAGAGTAGGGGACAAAGCCATCCAGCTACTCCAGAAGCAGAACATCTTGGCAGAGGGATACAACAGGATCTCTCCAAAGGGCAGCAGCAGGAAGGAGCTGAGCACAGCAGCCAGACACAAGCCAGGCACAGCAGGATAAATCCAAACTTTGTAGATCTGCACCTGAATTTCAGTAGGTGCTAAGTTTATAACTGCACCAAAGATCTAAAACAAAAAATCAGAAGACAGTGCTACACAAAATGACAATGAGAAGGGGAAAAATGCAATCTCAGAACCCAAACCCACCAATAGAAAGTGCAGAGGACACTGACAAAGAACAAATTGGGAATCACACAGCTGAAAGCAATGAATCAACAGCTT